GCCGAAACGAAATTGGTCAATCAGGGCCCGCTCATCCCACTGAGTGTCCAAAGCAAGGAGTTGGAACTCTACAGCGTAGATCGAGGCAGGACAAGACCCCTGAGAGAGACGTCTCATCTTTGTGGTAGCAGCCCGAACCCGATCCGTCTCGCCAAAACATGCTTCGAGCTTCTCTTTGAACAATTGAAGATCCATCAGCTCCGAAACCACGACCCCTTTCATGCTCTTTTCCAGAAGAGGAGAAAACCATGACAAGGCTGCACCTTCGAGCAACGTCCCAATCGAGCCGATTTGAGACTCGGGAGTGGGGTACCGCCGATGTTGAAGTGCGAAGATCAACTCCATCTGGTTCAGGAATCCGCGAAGCTCCGAACGCTTGCCTGAAAATTTCGCCGAGAAACTCACATTCGGTTCAGGAACTTTGTTGGATCCTTGAGCCAAAAGTGAAGCAAGTTCCTGCTGCATGCAAAGAAGGGTTGCCTTCAACTAGATATTCTCAGACTGGATTTTTGCAAGGACTTCAGCAAAGAAATCAGGATGACTTGGAGACTCCATCGGCAAGAAGAAAGAAAAAAGGGGGAAAAAAGGCAAAGGTAATCAAACAATCAAAACGAGTTAAATCAAAAAATGAAAAAACACAATCTGAATCAAACTGTCAAGACCCCCGACAAGATCAAGACTGGAAAATGCAAAAAGACAAAGAGAAAAAGCTAGTGGAAACAAAGAAGAGACCTTAGACTGGCGTTGATTCAGATTGTGGAGAAATGGAACAAGGCTAACCTATATATACTATAGGTTGATGAAGCTCCACCACTTTTGGATCGAGGACGGCCTAAATATAGCTGAGGTCGAGGAGGCGCCACATCATCATCAGGAATATGGCTCGAGACTCAAGAATCGGGAAGTGTCTCGAGAGTCAGGAATGTGGTCTGCAGGTCAGGAATCTAGCGAGAGTCAGGAATGTGGCAAGAATTGGGGGATTCCTGACAGAATCCTCGTTTAGAAAATCCACAAATGCTGAAATAACAAGCTTGTCAGAAATATGAAAAGACAGTGAAGAAGGAAGAGGAGCTCAAGAAAGGGCAACAACATCAGCCATAAAACTCCCCGGGCGATAAATAACATTAAAATCATATATTTGAAGCTTCAAAGCCCACTGAGCAGTATGACCAATTAGGTTCTACCACTTCAATAATGAAGTAATAATAGCTCTAATGTCTGAGAACCATATAGATATACATAAAGTTTCTTGAAACCCTAGACTGCTACTTAACACTCTATCGTGGAAAAGTTTACCTCTGCTGATTGTAATATACGGCTTATATATACAATGGGATGGCGTTGACTAGGTAAACTCGGGCTCTCTTGCATCAATACACCTTCAAGATCAATATTAGAAGCATCCATGCACAAAATGAAAAGTCGAGTGTAGTCAGGATGTGCCAAAACCGAAGGAGTTGTTAATAACACTTTGAGATCCATGAACACCCGCTCATAATTTAAAGACCAAATGAAAGATGACGTTGATAACTTCAGCAATGCTCGCAATTGTGCAATGCGATCAGAAAGATTATCCATAAAATAACTGAGATATTGCACCTTGCCCAAGAAGCATTGCACATCATTCACACAATTTGAAGTAGGGAACTTTAGAATAACCACAAGTTTGTCAGAATTAACTTGCAAACCCTTACAAGAAATACAGTACCTAATATAAGTCGTGTCCTTGGACCCAAACATGCACTTTGACCACTTCAACTTTAAATCAATATCCTATAGCTGATCCAACATTTTACAAACATCACGAACGTGTTCCTCCTATGTCCCCTCCAAGTGGATCAAAACATCATCAATGAGGTCAGTAATCATTTCTGGCATATCACAAAGAACCTCATCCATCATCTGTTACAAAGTTGTTAAAGCATTGTTCAAATCAAACAGCATGACTAATAACTCGTACAAACCAAATAGAGTGCAAAAAGCAATCTTAAGAATATCTTTTTCGGGCATCGGTACTTGCTAGTACCCAGAAGCAAGATTTAGCTTGGTAAACCAATGACTTCTCCTTAGACAATCCAAGAGATCAACAGTCTGAGGAAGAAAGTACACAATTGGATCGTCACTTCGTTTAATGGACGATAATCAATGCAAAAACAAATAGTCCCATCAGGTTTTATCATAAGATAAGGTTCACATGCTCAAGGACTCTGTGACTTTCGAATAACACCCTGTTCCAACATTTCCTTGATTTTTGCATGTAAAATTTTGATCTCTTTGGGTGACCAATGATGAACAGGAACTTTGATTGAACGAGCATCACTGGTTGGAATTAGATGATGTGTGGCAATCTTGGCTCTAGATGATAGGTCAAATTCAAAGAGATTGGCATACTCTTTCATGAGCTAGTTAACTGTTGCAACACAAATACTATTGGAAGGATCGAAAAAAGGAAGAGCAGAACAAGATAGAAATATAGAAGGAAGTAATAAAGAAACAAAAGTAATAGAAGCAAAGGTAAAAGAAAAAGAACAAAAAAGTATAGAAGTGGGAGAAATGAATAAAATATAAGGAAGTATGAGACAAGGGGGAGAAGCCTTAAAGTCACATTTAGCATGATTATGCTGCAACCAAGGATGAGGTCAAAAGCTTGACTCAACACCACTTGCAATGATTACAACTCAAGCTTGAGATCGCCCACATGCATAACTAGGTTTGCCTCATCCCGTGTACATGCATGTATACGGCCATTGCCATAAAGAATGAAAACTGACTCTTCCCCACGATGCAAGTGTAAATGGCAACATATGGCAACAGGTCGAGCAACTTGAATCTATATTAACCAATATAGAAAGAACAATAAGAGATCTTTTGTTATAAAAATGAGTTTGGAAAGTAAACACTAAATGAACTGGTGCCAAATGAACCCCTTAATAATACTTTCGAAAAAAAAATGGAAAAGGCACTAACTTATTCGTGCAAGGTCCCTCCATTACTCGTGTGACTCTTTGTTTCCCATATGTATTTCAGTGTTCAGACCTTCCACTGCAGCAACCCCAATAGGACGTTGTTGATGCCAAAGTCTCCACCCAGGAAATAGAGGCCGCCAATCCAGAAAATGCCAACAATACTGATAAGTGTAACCAACTTCATCACATACCTAGTAGCGAACATCACGGCCACAACCACGTCCTTGCCTTTATCCTTGAACTTGAGCAGCAAAAGCTTCAACCTCCATTGGAACAGAACCATCACCCACAAAAAGTGGAGCTGAAGGGTGTGCAACAAGAACTAAAAGAGGCGATATTTCATAACATTGTGCTAAACGAAGAGCATCATCAAGAGTGGCTGGAGCACGTGCATGCACAAGTTTGACAAGATCTTGACAAAGTGTTAGCCACAACATTCTTAACTTGATTCACTCTAACATATTTAGCTCTGCATGAAGCAAGAGGTTTCGGAAACGAATGCTAAATTGCATCACTAACTTAAAGAGCCATTGATGAAGATGATGTAATTATTGGAAGGCATCATCACAATTGTTGGTATATCCAAATGTGCGTTTAAAGACGTTCAGAAGAACACTCCAGTTTTCATGAGTGGCTATGCTCAAACCGTTGTACCACTACAGTGCCGTCCCTTGGAGATACGTAGGAAACTCCCACAAACATCAAGCATCATCCCAAAAATGATATATGGCAATCACCATGAAGTGATCAAACTAATAATACACATCATCCCCAGGATTTCCATGAAAGAACTCCGGCTGAACGTGATGATTTGCACCAACAGTAGAAGGAGCTGTACCACGTGCTATAAATACCATTATCAACTGAGTTTGGTTGTTCAATTGCAATCACATAGCATCAAGCAATTGCATTAATTGTTGCTCTAGAGTCAAAGGAGGAAAAGACTACTACCCTACCATAAAAATGAATGAAAAGGAAAGAGCAAAAGAAGAGAAATGAAAAAAAGCTAGAAGGAAAAGAATACAAAAGTTAAATGTAAACCAAAATCCTAAAAAGAAAGAACAAAAGAAAGGAAATGGAAAAAGTTAGATCTAGACGATGCAAAAGTTAGAGCTAAACCAAAATCCCAAACCCAAACACTCCTCAGAGACAATCAAAAGTGCCCCTCATCTCCATTAATATAAGTATATGGAATATGGAAAGGGAATATAAAAAATATACATATCAGTTAATGCAAAAACCCTAGTTTATATATAGGAGCGAATGGTTCAGATTGAAATCAATCTGACAGTTACCAAAATCCCACTACGCTAATATTAGTATACGGCATTATAGCCGTACATTTGGACCTCACAGTATGAATTATTGTTTTAAATAAAATCAATAATATAAGAAGAATATGCATGACACTTGTAGTAACAAGTGTTGTTGTTGCAAAGATCCTCTAATGTAAATTTTATTTAGGATGGTATTAATATTATCCAGCTCTTTGATTTGACATCTCTCAACACCTCATGCTTCCAAATACAGCCATTTTTTCGCATAGCCAAAGTCCAGTTTAAGGGACCATATTGTGCTTCTTCATTTTCTTGAAGATCTTCTTGGCTTCCACTAGGAAGCTGCTGCCTCTCGCGTCATTCTTAAATCACTAGCACTGCTCAGTCTGATTCGAGATTGCATTCACCTCACAGTCTACATCAAAATATGTCCCAATTTCTGCCACTCAGAGTGGGATATATAGCTCCCAATAGGTATCGAGCACCCGGGAGGGTTTGCATCGTGGAAATGGATAGCTCAGATGGTAGAGCACTCGCTTAGCATGCGAGAGGCACTGATCAATACCCAAACCTTTTTGCAATAGGAAGAGCATGCGTCTGACCAGTTATTGCGTCCTTCATTGACAATAAAAGACCAAAAAAATGTATCACTATCTAATTATCATCCCATGATTATAATACGCGAAACAAGATTTTGATTTACCCACTAAAAGTGGGGCTCAACTTTATTATAGTTTATTACATTCTTCAAATCTCTCTAGTTGCAAACTTTGATATTAGCAGTGACTTGATAGTTCATACCACCCAGTGAAACTTCTGTCACAGTTCCAGTGGCTCCAACATATCGGCCAGTACCACCAACAATCGCGTACGTGGTTGAAGAGCCTTGGGTGGAACTTCCAGCGTCACCCATGAACTCCACCCGATCATTGCCACACTTGATCTGGGAGACCTGGAAATCCAGACTGCCGGTGTCGGCGATTATTCCTTGGTAGATGCATCCCGGGTTTCCAGTCAAAGGGGCTGCAAACGTTTGGACGGATCCATCTCGATCCCCGACACCATCACTCGCAACAACTTGAAACTCGTTTTGCCCGAAAACAAACTGGGCTGATCCTTGGATGGTGAAGGTATTGCACTGGAAAAGAAAAGAAGAAACCATTATATCAAGATCATGCTCCTAACATATAACTGTACAACCTTTGTTATGGTGGCAGATGCAAAAGCAAAGAGAGCAACAGTAAGAATTGAGACCAAAACAAGTTTGGAAGCCATTGTACTCTGACTGAAGGAAAAAAAAGCTTTGAAGTGAATAGGCATGTGTCTGATCTAGTCCTAACATGCATTTATATAGTGTGGGAAAATTGACTTTTCAAAGCAAAATCTTTTTCATTGTTGGCCAGCCAACTTCACACCAAAGCACACTCCTCCAATGATCAATGGATCCAATCTTTTGTGGAAATAGAAGAGAAAACTCTGGTGGAACCAAAAAGGAAAGAAAAAAATCCACAGTATCAGTTAACCAAACACTACTTGGCTGAAAGGTGGCCAATGAGAATACACAGAGCACTAGCTAGCATGAGCGTTTGACAAAAGCACAAAGTTGCCACTATCCCTGGGATCTAGATCCACTGCTTGCCGAGCGGCGTGAGCGGCATACTCCGTCTCCAAGCAGATCAATCCGGCAGCCACAAGGCTCCCCCACGCCAATCCATCCGCGCTAAACGGCATCGTCTTGATCAGCTCCTCCGCCTCGCCCAATCGCCCACTCTTCCCCAATCCATCCGCAACGCAGCAGTAGTGATCCCTCCCTGGCGCCACTCCAAAATCGTCGCGCATGGCCACCAGATGCCCGCGGCTAACGCCCACCATCCCCAGGTGATTGAATCCCAGCATCAAGCTCGCGAACGATGCCTCGTCCGGATCCACGCCCTCGAGCACCATAGCCCGGAAGAGCCCTAGAACCTCCTCGCCATGCCCGCTGTGGGCATGCGCGGCGATCACCGCGTTCCAGCTCACGCGATTTCTCTCCTCCATGGAATCGAAGATCAATCGCGCGTCATGGGCGTGTCCATTCCGCGCAAACGCTGCCAGTAGCGCGTTCCAAGACACTAGATTCTTCCCGGGCATGGCGTCGAAGAGCTCTTTCGCGTGATCCAAATGCCCTCTCTGGGCACTGGCGGTAAAGAACGAATTCCAGCTCGTGACGCTCCACTGCGGCATCCGGCGGAAGAACTCCCGTGCCGCCGGTAGATGGCGGTACCGCGCGGACGATGCCAGCATGGCGTTCCAGCACACGACGTCACGCTGCGGCATGCCGTGGAAGAGCTCCCGCGCGTCGTGGAGATGCCCGGCCTGGGCATACGCCACGAGCAGCGCGGTATGCAGCACGGTATCCCGCTGCGGCATCCGTGCAAAGACCTCCCCCACCGCGTCCATCCGCGCGGCATCCGCGTAGGCGGTGAGCAGCGCGTTCCATGCCACTGCATTGCGCTCGCCCATGGCATCAAACGCTTCCCTCGCGGCTTCTAAATCGCCACTCCTTCCCAGCGCCGCGATCATCACCGTGCTGGAGAAGACGTTCCACAGCGCCATGCGATGGAGCGTCTCCAGCGCCAGATCGAGCTGCCCTCTCGCGGTGCGCGCCTGCGCCATGGACGTCCACAGCGCGACGTCGCGCCGCGCGGCGCCCTCGAAGGCCCTCCACGCGCCGGCCGGATCGCCGCTCCTGGCAAACGCCGAGACGATCGAATTCGCGGAGATCACGTCACGCCCAGGCATTCTCTCGTAGAATCTCTCAGCATCGATCGATTGCCCGTTTTGGGCGTTGGCGCCCAGGATCGAATTCCACGCCACGACGTCGCGCTGTGGCATTCGATCGAATGCCCGTTTTGCCTCCTCCAGATACCCATTCTGGGCAAATGCCACGAGCAGCGCGCTCCACGAGAAGAGATTAGGGTTCTTGATCTGGGAGAAGGAGGCGTGGGCGTCGTGGACGTTGCCGCATTTGCCATACATCTGGACGAGGAGGTTGTGGAGGTGGAGATCCTCGAGGCCGCGCTCGAGGATGAGCGCGTGGATCTTTCTTCCCTGGAGCAAATTCCTGGCCGCGCAGCACGATCGTAGACTGCTCGCGAGGGCATCGATTCTCATTCCCTAGCAATTGGAACCTCCTCATCTAGAACGGAAGAAATTCTGGAAGAGATTCTAGTTCTAGAACTCTTGCATTGTCGACTGGAATCTAGAGAGCAAGATCTTTGGATTGTCACGAGGATCTCTCCTTTCATTCTTCCCGCGCAACCTAGGATTGGATCCAAGGAAATTAAAATCTTGTGTGAAGCGAGGAAGGGGGGTAATGGTTAGGGCAGAAGGCGCTCAAAGCGCTCGACGAGCGCCTTGTCGCTAGGGCGGTAAGCGCTTCCTTCTTTCCTCGATCGATGAAATATCGCCTTCCAGCGCCAGATTGCGCGAGGGAAATGTTGCATCGCGGGGGATTCTCAGCTGCGTCTTTGCTGAGAGCTCGATCGAACCGGCACAGTGGCGGCAGAGGCAGGAAAGTATTTCCAGATTTTCAAGCTAGGGTAAGCCTGCGGTGGAGCTCATCGATCGCCACAGGGGAATGCGATGCTCCAGTCGCTGGAAATTTCTACCGCAGCCAGGTTGATGCCGATGGAAGGATCTTCAACTTTGCGACCGTGGTTGTCAACAGCGACAAGGGCCAGTCTGCATTGCCGGCCTGGTCGCAAGCTTGCTCGCTCGTCGGGACAAATGCCCCCACTCTCGCCGTGGCATTTGTTTCCAAGCACAATCCATCATCCGCGGCAGCTCTGGAAGAACTGGGACGATCATTTTCGGAGGTTTTAACAGCACAAGGTGGTAGTGCTCCAGCAAAGATCGCTGCTCCATTCATTGGTTGCGTGGCGGATCTATGGAACGTCGCTGCTCCGGCTGCTACAAGCCCAGGAGGCGGTGGTGCCGAGAAGAAGCTCGGTGCTCCTTCGGTTTCCAGTTCTTCCGGGTACAAGGCTGCTGGTGTGGACGTTGCTGGGGATGGCGATGTGAGAGCTCTGGCTGTCAAGCAAGATCATGAGGGTGGTCTCACATTGAGAGCTGCTAGCGCGTTTCCGGACGAGGATACAGTGGAAGATTTCAAAGCTCTGGTTGGGGACTGTGCTCGGTGGACGCGAGAGAATCCCGGCGTGGTTCCGGACAACGAAGATCTAGTTGCTTTTGACAAGGAACTCAAGGCTTCTAGCGCGACGGATGTTCTAGCTGGCAATGCGAAAGTTCCTGAAGAAGTCGGAAAGTCCGAAGAGCAGGCACTTCAGTGTAAGAAGATGGAGAAGGATCCGGAAAGTAAGAATGGAGAACTAGCATTGGAGAAGGAAGAAGAGAAAAGCGGTGGGGCGTCTCTCAACACGAAATCATCCGGTCCAGGAAACACAAGTGCCGTGCCAGACGTTGAGAGGATTGTAGTTTCGGAAGCTGTCGCCGAGGGTGGTCCAGGTGGAGTGCCTCGAGGAGCTTCCAGCGGTGCCACAAGCCAGGCCTCTCCAATGAGTGACGAGTCCGTGGCCACCATAGACGATGGTTATCGGATGATTTTGTGTGTGGCATATCTGCCCGGGACAAAAGCCACAGCTTTCCATACAACTACAACGGGTCTTCCCAATCTGCCAGATATGGAAGCTGCGATCGTTCGAAACAATCCTCACATGATTTTACTAGGCGCTCCAGGTAACTGTAATGTTTTCTTTTCCCTGGCTAACTTTTTCCATGTACGTATTCAGGATATCCTTACCCAGAGTTTGTACAGCGTTTGTCCGTGATGTTTCCCGAAAGTTGCAGGTGAGAGTGTTTCCGTGCAGCGAACAACGATGGCTAATGTTATTGTCCAGGTTGCAGAGCAGGCGCATTTTTGGCTCCTCTGTATACTAGCCCAAAGGTCCCAAGGCCAAAGATCATAAACAGCTTAAGACCACTGTTTGCTGGAACGGGGCATCTCACTGCTGGTGTTGTTGGCTTGTCACTTTCGTCTGATGGTACGCTCCTATACGTGTATAATTTTCGTTTACTGATTTCTTGATGCAGATGATCAGAGAAAGCTACCGATAGATGCTTTTACGGAATTTCTTCGTATGACATTAGGAATGGCACGAATTTCCGGTCATAACTTTTTTGAGTATGGTTTGTATGAATTTTACTGCCAGCTACATGGTACTAACCGATTCTTTTCCTTGCTTACAGTAACGCTATTAGCAACTCTCTCTTTTTCCCAAAGAACGCAGCTGCGGAGCGGCACACCAGCCCGCGATCAGCTCCTGTGGATCCTGGCTCGCTTCTTAAGCGGTTACATACTTACTTGCTTAGGCACAGTAAAGTCCAGACTCAGGCTGGTGGTGCTAGAGCGTCGGGGAGCTCAGAACAGGATAACGCTCTGAAGGTTACCAACGGTAGCAATTGTTGCACCACAACGTCAGTGGAGGTTAAGAGCTCGTACGAAGTTCCTGCGACTGCGACTCCGGCTCCGGCTCCATATGAATCTCATTGCTCCGATAGCTCGGTGAAGATGCCTCTCGCACTGCTGGACACGGTATTGTTTCCAGGATGGTCGATGCCGTTACACATGCACGAACCTCGATACAGGCATCTGGTCTCTTTCTTTTCTTTTTTCTCTATTCCGACACGCAGGTGCTAACAAATTTTAGTCTTCCTCCAGGTTCGACACTGCGTTGAAGAAGGAAAACCATTCGGACTTACCAGCTACTGGCACTGGCAAACTGCGCAAGAGCTAGTGGGAACCATGGCTGTGAGTATTTCATATCTCCGGATTTCATCTTAACTGATGCCACTTTGTTACGTGTGCCAGAACCTCAAGGTGTATCTTTTCGAGAAGGATTGCCGATCTTATGTCGTTGCTCACGGAGTCCAGAGGTTTCGTCTTCCTTTCGACAAGTAAGCGTTTACGATCACACCCTTTTGAAACACTGAATGGACTTTGTGCACAGGATGTGGGTGCAACCAGGCTCTTTTGGTCTCAACATCGGACAGGTACGCTTATACCTTTCGCTCGTTATAAACTTTAGTTTTCACAGGTGGAGTTCTTCGACGATATTGAATGCGAGCACACGGAGGAGCTCCTGGACCTGGCAAAGCAAGTCGTGGATCGCTGTCGCCAGTTGCTACCCGAGGTTTGCTTCAATCGCTACGCTTCGTTTTGATCGTGCTTTTGTTTATCCCAGGCTGATACTGTCCCTGGATTACTCGGATCCATATCAGACCCAATCAAGGCATCGTTTGCAGTCGGCCAGCTTCTCCCAGTTCCAGTACGATCGTTGTTTTCGTTTCGTTTTGTTTCAATCTTAGCAGCAGTGATTAGATCCTGGATGGATTTCTTGCAGGTTCGAGTTAAGAGGAGATGGCTTGGAATGGCGGACACCAAGTTTCGACTCTTGGAGCAAATGACTTTCTTGAACAGCTAGAAAAAGTAGAAGCTTTAAGTGACAAGAGCCTCCAAATTGAGCGAACTTGACCTAACCCTAGAAGCATATTCTTCGCTCGAAATAAGCATATTCTGTTCTTCACAATGTATTTAAAGGGTTCTCGGACAAAGGAATTATAGGGCAATGGCGTGCTTCGGCTTCTCGCTTGTTCGATCGATGCTACGACGGCTGGAAAAGCGGTGCCGGCGCCTGGGATTGATCGAAAAGACGTTCACCCTGCGCGATTCCGCCACGGTGATGCGCTGCTGGGTGCCCGATCGCGCGAGCCCGGGCTACGATCCCTCCAAGCCGCCGCTCATGCTCGTCCACGGCTTCGCGGCCAACGGGATCGCCGGGTGGGAGCATCAGCTGTCCGAGTTGTCCCGAAATTTCGCGCTCTACGTGCCCGATCTCGTCTTCTTTGGCGGATCGACCACCAGCGACGAGCGCGCGCGGTCCGAGTTCTTCCAGGCGCGCTGTATGCTCGAAATCCTCGAGGCGGAGGGCGTCGACGGGGCGGCGGTGGCGGGGACGAGCTACGGCGGATTTGTGGCGTTCCGGATGGCGGAGCTGGATCCGGTGCGCGTCAAGAAGGTAGTGATCGCGAGCTCGGGCGTTTGCATGGATCCCCACAGCAACGATGCGACCCTGGACGCGTTCCAGGCCAGGCACATCCACGAGGTCCTCATGCCCACCTCCGTCGCGGTCCAGAAGAAAAGCATCCAGCTTTGCCTCTACAGGCGCCTGTGGCTCCCAGATTGCTTGGTCCGGGATCTCATGGAGGTAAAGGCTCTCGCGTTGAATCCTTATTGACTCTTGCTGACCGTGCGTTGACTGTGCTTGGATCCAGGTGTATGGCGGCAACAGGAAGGAGAGGATTGAGCTCCTCGACGGCCTGGTTATCGGCACCGAGGCCGCGCAGCCGCTGCCAAAGCTTTCACAGGCAAGGACACTCTCTTGGAAAGGATTTCTCTGACACTTACAGAACTTTCTTGGAACAGGAGGTCTTGATTCTCGTGGGATCGCACGACCGGATCTTCGATCTGGAGCTCGCCAAACGGCTAAAAGCGTGAGTGATTGATTGATTGCCAATCGAGCCTTACAGTTCTTGGATCTCACTTGAGCTTCTTTCCAGACACTTGGGCGAGAATGCGACGCTGGTTGTGATTGAAAAGACAGGACACGTCCCACAAGTGGAAAGGCCCAAGGAATTCAACAAGCACATACAAGCTTTTCTCACTCCAATCCAATCATGAAATCATAGATAGTGTCTTCTCCTAAAGGCCGTCAATTGCTAATTTTGTTTAGCGAATGGAAATGATATAGATTTGCCAAAGAAAAGAAATTGTCCATTGTTCATAGAAACTTTGCCCTAAGAAATTATTTTGATGATTAGGGCTTATGGTATTGCTGCGCTCTCCTAGCGCAGTGCGATGTTTGAGGGATGGGTCTTTTCTCTGGTGGCAGGATATCTGGGCAATTACATCAAAGATATCCATCGCGAGCAGTTCCGCATCGGCCTGTGGAGCGGTGAGAGCGATTCTTCTTCCCGATCCTGTCGCTCTAAAGCTTTGGTTGTTTTCCTCTTGCCAGGCGTGGCGCTGCTGGAGAATGCCGAGCTGCGCCTCGAGGCTTTCGATTACTTGCAGCTCCCCTTCGCGATCAAGCAAGGTAGCGTTTGATTCTTAGTCGTGGAGGATCACTCTGGAAATTTTGTGCAGGCTTTGTTGGGAAATTAAGGCTCCAAGTTTCTTGGAAAACACTCCTTTGGGAGCCTATTCTTATTGCTTTGGAAGATGTACATATATGTGCTTGTCCTCGTGATGAATCAGAGGTATGTGTGGTAGAAACTACGTCGTTTTTGGAAGTCTAAAGGGTGGTTTTGCTTCCAGTGGAATGCCACTGCCGCGGAGAGCAGAGAATTGGCTGCCAAAAAGGCGAAACTGGCAGCGGCAGAGATTACAAAGCTCTCCAAACAAGTACCAGGTACTTTTTTTCTAAGCGATGCGCTGAAAAGAAAACATGCCAATGTTTCTTCTCGGTGTGCTTTGTCTTTCAGATGAGAAAGTTCGCCAGTCCTTGCTATCTCATCTCCTTGCAAAGGTGCGGCTATTTCTATTTTCTTTTGTGTTTGTTACTCTGCTTTCGTTCACAGGTTATTGACAACATTCAAGTTACAATACGAAACATTCATATCAGATACGTGGACAAGAAAGATGATCCAGAGGTACTGTCCGTGCACATTTCCAAGTGTTGATGTTTCTGTACTGCAGGGTAGCTTTTACTTTGGTGTCAAACTTGCTGGACTCAGTGTTGGTACCACGGATGCCCGCGGTGCCGGGTAAGCTAATCTCCAAATAGTTGTTTTTTCTCATGACTATCTTTTGGGCCATGGTAGAAATTCGGCTGCGAAAACAAAAAGTGGTTTTGTTCATAAGTCCGTGGAGATCAATAAGTTGTCCGTCTACTGGAACTCCTCCTCGTCCGCTCCCACTGTTTCCAGGAACTCAACGAGTACGCTTGGCAATTACCTGAATAGATGCTTCGCTAAAAAGGACGAGAATCTGAGCTACATTTTATATCCCATGGATGCGTCAATAAAGCTTACGGTAAGCTTGTGCCAGTTTTTCCTGACTAAAAGAAGCGAGCTTTTGTTGTTTCTTCAAGGTAAACCGGTCTGCTACATCAGATGGTGGCGCTCCACTCTATGCGTTGGCCATGAGCATGGATAAACTGGTATGATGCAAGCTTTTCCTGGTCGATACAATATAATGTTTGATGGCAGGATCTTAATCTGAGTGATAGGCAATTATACGAGATGTTTTTACTGATAGACTCGTTCGAAATCTCTCGTATACGAGAAAGGTGAACAAAACAGCTGCGTTTTTTTTATTGCTAATCCCGTTTAGCAGATACGGTCGTTTCCGTCCTCATGTAGGCTTGTCGACCGAAGAGCGAAGCTCCTGCCACTGGCAACACCTTTGGTGGAAATATGCTATCAATGCTGTGCTCTCTGACGTGCGGAAACGGCTGCGGCGAAGCTCTTGGAGATACTTGGCATGGCGTCTGTAAGCAACTTATCTTTTGCAATCTCGGTAATGCTCATGTTGTCTGTGATTGCAGAGATTGTCGCCGGCGCTATGTCACCTTATATAAAGAAAAGCTTCTGTGCTTTCAAGAAGGCCAGGCTCCAGAAGACGATATAATTTATGATCTGGAAGAGCTGGAGAAGGAGCTTGACTTAGAGATGATCTCCTCTTTCAGAGATCTTGCAGAGAGAAAATACGAACTTGAAGTAAGGGATCTCAAATCAGTTTAAGGTGGCTCTAACGAAAAGATACTGGCAGGAAATGCCGGACGAAGACAATGAGGGACATAATCGGGTTTCTGAATCGGTTAGTCACCCCCGTGGCTGGCTAAATGTTTTCTCCTTTGGTATGCTGGGGAAGTCCGCGACTATGGATTCTGCGGCGGAATTTACAGGTCCTTTATCCGATGAGATTATGAAGGTGTGAGACTGGATTTTCATGATGTCTTGCTTAATGTTGCGATGTAACAGGACATTTACAAGGCCACCAATTTTCATCCGGCGCTACTTTTAGAGAACGACTCGTCCAAAGGCTATTGTCTACTGTCAATGAATCTACACCTGAGGCAAGCTGTTGGTCGGCTGGAAAACTCGTGAGTCTTTGCTTCTCATTGCTTTGTAGAATGACGTTTAATACTTATTCTTTTTAGCTGCACGAAACTTGGCATTGTGGAGGTTGTCACTTCGGGAATCTTCACTACTTTCCGAAAACTGCAGGATGTAGCTACTGGCGCTGTTGCATGCAAGGCTTTTGAAGTAAAAGACGTGTGCACCGAAGGCACCCTTTACCCTCATGTGGCAATATCAAAGGTATGTATTTCACAGTTTTGCGCACATCGTCCCAAGCGTTGCATGCTTTAGTACCTATACAGGGCAGTTATTCAAACTATGCAGCGAGCACACGTGGAAGTTATGCGGAAGCTGTATCTTCTCTGTATATTGCCAACGGCAATGGAGCTAGCCAACGCGACGCAGCGATTCGTATCGACGTTGAGCTTTCTGAAGATCTTGGTGTCAAGGTTTCGGTAAGCTGTAAATGCCTTGTGATTTCTTTTAATTGGAAGAATGAAATTGCAGGTTTGCATGAGGCCATTCGAGGTCATTTACAGCCGTAGCGTTTCTGAAGGCTTACTTAATTTCCTCAAACTTCCGACTTCTTGTGAAGCAGAGGAGGTGCGTTTTGTGTTTTGTGCTTTTTATTTGCTTTGCGACTTAAGTTGTGTGTTCAGTTCTACACAGACGACTCGAGGGAAATTCAGTCAGCATTATTGTATGTGTTTCAGCTTCTTTTCTTTTGTGCATTCTAAGCTTTTTCTGCATTACCAGGACGAGGCTTTCTCTAAATGTTGATGCCAGAGACGTGGTTTTCATTATACCCAACGATAGTGTTTCTTCAAACTCGGTTTTGGTAAAACAATTATTTGTCCTTATATTAGTTCTCACAGTTGTCTACAGGCTATTCCCTTGGAGTCTATGCATTTCTCGATGGCAAATATGATTGGCTTCCCTTCAAAAGAACATGGTCAAGCTGTTCTAGCGGCGTCTCAAAATCATTTGAAAGATTTTTCAGGATCTGTGATTAATCACTTTGAAGTGAAGTTGGCTGGGATACAGGTACAAGAATTGAAATCTTTAATTTGCTACTTGAATATTTTTACAGGCTCGTTTTGCTAAAGGAACTAATAGCGGTGAAGAGAGTCGTTTTTGTTGGGTGACCGTGATGGATAAGTTCAACGCAGATTTTGATATTAAGAAGATCAAGGATTCATGGGATACTAGATGGAAGGTCAGTGTTTGCAATGCGGATGCAGAATACTTAACACTAGTGTTCTGTAGGTTGACGGAAGTTTGTCAGCAACTACGGTTCTGGTTTCAGCTGTAGTTTACTCCGGCTTGGGAGCCATTATAGACGCTGCCGCAAAGCCTTTCTTGCAGTCTCAATCGCGGAGAGAAGGAAGGGAGTCAACCACGCAACCAATATCTGGCGAGCTTTTTATAAAAAATGTCAGCGTACAGCTTGTTTTAAGCGACGAAGGATCAATTGCTTCCGTGAAAGCTATATCTTTGCACATTGAACCATTGAAACTAAGGTACGTGCCACATTTGTTGTATTTTTATAGCTCACCTTTACCTGTGCAGGTTTTCCAGCGATGCACTGCAAGATAAGTTCGCGTTGTTGGCTGGAAAACTGTACATGGAAAATATGGATTCACAGAGCCTGGATAGATGCCTGTTTTCGACTCTCAACGACAGTAATGGACTGTCTATTACAATTACAAGGAATTGGAATGAAGGTGGACCAGTGAGATCGGCATTAATTTTACAAGACGCTGAGTGCCATATCCATCGAAACGTGATTGCCGCTTTGACTGGGTTTGTGCTCGAGATTTCTGAACTTCGGCCGACTGCAACCGGTGAAAGTTCTCTTCATCAAGCACCGTTTTCTCTGGCCTTACAACTTGACAACGTTTCGTTCTTGATGCACGACGTCTATGGCGTTCTTGCTACGTTGGTACTATCAAAGTCAGAGTTTTTTATGCTATCTTCCGCTCCAGAAGACTGGGAGCTTGAAGGCAAAGCCTCCGACCTTCAGATTTCCGCACCAGAGTTTGCTACACACGGCATGAACGGTATTCCTTTCCGTCGCCTCAACTCTCAACAGCCATCATCTATTCATCTGAGCGTGGTTAAAAAGAGTCTTCCTTTTCCAACTCTCGAGATTCAGGCAGACCTCGAAGGCATTGAATGCATTCTGCACAGCGACTACTTGGTGCTCCTTATCGGATTCTTTCGATCTTCCGAGTGGAAATCTACTTACGTCTCAGCACCGGCAGTCGAGCCTACACAACTATCTGTTCCTTATCAGGTGAAAGTAAAGAACTCTGTGCTGATATTACCGATTGGAGGAGGACACCACTTCGACATTGGTATACCCGAGTTCTGCTTTTCATTTGTTCCGCTCAAGTTGACGGGGAATTTCCGGAAGTCACATCCGGAGTGGTATAGCGTGGAGGATGCAAGCGACAGCCCATTCAAGCTGTTTTATATCAGGGGAAGACAACTTACACTATCGAACTACGGTTTGGAACCGTGGAGCGGCGATAAATGGTTTATGCCATTGATCGATATGTTAACGGGTGACATTCTGATTGAAGCTCCAGACACTAGCGACAGGAGAAACAAGTTGACGAATATACATATCAAGTTTCCAGTTATTCAACTTTCTTGCATAGGTATGTAAGCTTGACTAAAATGCTGGAATTTCTTACGAAAAGTTTTTCTTTGCCTTTCCAGGACACGCGCTTCACAGACAAATTGAGTGGGTTGATTTTCTGTCGATGGAGCTAGCTTCTGTGGGATGGAAGTCCCTGCATGCCACGGATATTTGGGAAGGCATCATTTCGGGAAAGCCGTTCATAGTAACGCAGACGGCTAAAAGCAAGCCTTCTTTCAACTTACAGTGGCATAACGATCAACTTACGAGTTCCTTGAAACTGTCGAGAAAAGGAGAGCCCGGTCTACTTGATACTGTGGCAGTTCTGGAAGCAAGAAGCACTACCGCCGCATATAGTGTTGAAGCAGGAGTTTTTCAGCACTTCGGGCTGAAACTGGACAACGTCGTCATCTTCGATCCTAGTTACAAGCTGAAAGATGGCAACGTAAGGAGAAAACTGGTGGTGAGTGTGAAATCAGAGACTTCGAACATTGCGATCGAGGCGCTGCCATTAAATCCGTCGAAAATCCAAGTGGACATTCTGGTCCCTCGACTGGAAGTGTGGCTACGCTTTTCGTCGTGGAACAAGATAATCTCCTGGATGTTCGTATGTATTCCGCTCGACACAACACCAAGTATTCCAGCAGATACTGTGGCCGTGTTACTTGAGATGGGAACGACGGTTGGCAGCGTACTTCACTTGAAAACTACAGTTCCTTCACTTATGTTTTTTCTGCCGGACTGCAGCTCAGAAAATCAGAGATTGACAGAAGAAGACGAGCTGGGCAAGGCTGTGCTGTTCACCTCCTCCTTTTTTATCGACGAGTTCGAGGTTCTCGATTCCAGATGCACCTTTTCAGCTCGCTTTACACAAGTGAAAGCAGAGACAAAGACGAGACAGCTCTCGGGTTATCCTTGCCTGGCAACTGCTAATATTCATATCGGAGGAGCATTTTTTTTGGAATTCCCTGTTCCTTCTCTCGCACTTACTGCTTGTGTCGACTCCATCGACTGCTGGTGCTCGTATCCTATTCTTCAGTTTCTCAACGCTTTTGAACTCGAGTCTAGTATTGAGGAAGAAGAGGAGAGTCTGCTGCTCGAGTATAAAGTCGGCTTGAAAGCGGAGATTCTAATGCTCTCGTTGCTGCTAACGGACGGTCGGGTATGTCCATTTTCACTTTTTTTTCTTCATTCTTCAGCTACTCTTTGTTGCAGTGGAACTATAACTGTCCTCTTATGGAAGTGATTTTTGAGAAAACATTTTTGGAGCTATCTTTTAGTCGGGGAAGTGTCGACATTCTGGCGTCGACTGTCACAGAAATAAGCTACCACAACATTGAGAAGGTGACCATTGTATTTACGTTTTTTTACTCGGTTATAATACTTTACGCAGGTTGTGTGGGAACCTTTCCTTGAGCCATGGAGGTTTACGGGTAGCTTTCATTTCGCTGAGTCTGCCGCAAAAGTGGAGATAGAATCGGCGAATAATCTCAATATCAACGTGACAGAAGCTTTGTCGCAGGTTTGTGTTTAGAAATTCGGTTAGTATCTTATGTTCGTCAAGCTTTTATCTTTAGGCAAGCACTCGGGCTTTAGAAATGATTACCTCCAACCGGATACTGGACTTACAACGTCACGTAGTGGAGAGCTTACAACAGAACGTTTTCTCCCAGTATGCGCCATACTGGTTCCAGAACGATACAGGCATGACGGTCTCATACTCTCTCATCTGGCCTGGTTGGAATGGAGATAAGAGCCTAGAGAACGATTCAACTTGGCAATGGCGAACGGTTCTTGCTGGGTCATCGGTACCTTTGTTTGTGAGTGAAGACGAAGGTTCTATACGTTACAAGAAAAAGGCTCGCTGGATCTCCAGCCGGGTTTCGGAACAAAAGAAAATTGGACTCATGTCACATCGAAGAATACGAGTCCGTCTTGAAGGGACGTCCGGAGCTTCTCTTCCTATGTCCATCGACTTAGTTGGCCGCCGAGCTTTCGAAGTTTCATTCTCGGGCAAAGAAACCGACAGAAGCGATGAGGGGAAGCAGTTCAGCACGCATGCCGTGCTTGAAGTTTCTCTTCAACATCATAGCAAGCTTATAAGATTGCATTCGACTGTAAGTTTTTCCTCCTTGTTTTTCTTTGACAATCTGACTTGTTTTTCTTCTTTATTTTGTTTTCTTCTTAAGGTTACTGTCGCGAATTCTACGTCTGTTCCTATGGAAGTTCGTCTGGAAATACCTTTCGGCATTGCTCCGAAGGTAAGGCCGTTATGTTCGTTCTTTGAAACTTGATTGTTTCTTTTTGTTTCCAGATAATGAACCCGATTCTTCCCAGTGAAGTCATCCCGCTCCCTGTTCACCTGGCAGAAACCGGCCGCATTAGCTGGCGTCCCTACAAGAAGGATTATCTTTGGAGCGAAGCACAACCTTTGTCAAAGTTGCTATCGACGAACTATCGCGGGGCGTCACAGCGACCATTCGTCTGCTATCCAGCTCGGCCCAGCCAAGGTCCATTCCGCTGTTGCGTCAGTGTGGAGGAGAAGGAAGTGTCGGCTGCAATATATGCTTCAAAGTCTTCGTCAGACAAGCTTCCAGTAACCTCAGAGCAGTCAGCAGGATGGAAGATGTGGAACGTTTTGCTTCAGGCTCCACTTGTTATTATGAATTGTCTTCCATGCGCCATGGACGTGATCGTCGAAAGTGGTGCTGGAGTGAATGCTCATACGTCCATCCCAAAGGTATGCTTGGCTTCTACAAGCTAAAATGATATAAGGTTTGCTGGTAAAAACTCCAGGGCGATTCTGGCTTCTTTTACGAGGTGGACGTCGTGCATGACCTGAACATAAAAGCTACTATCTCTAGCTTCTTACCGAGAACTGTCAAGTTCGGACGCGCTGCATCTAGAGATAGAGTGGAAAGAACAGAAAGGCCTATCAACGATGAAATGACCATCTTTGATCCCGAAAATCCTTCAGGTGAATTTTATGTTTGTATCCTTTTCTTGGTCTAACTTATTGTATTGGTCAGGTCTTCCTGTTTATGCACGGGTTGATAAGGTGACGGATCTCAGAAGCGGGGCACGCAGACTCTCTTTGATCGTTCCTTACTGGATTTACAACTGCAGCGGGTTGAACTTATCTTTTCTGGACGGGGAAGTGGACGTACATGTCGCCAAAGAGCAGAGCCTTCCTGATACATACAGCGCCGGAGGCACAGCAGCTGCGACGGAAGCTCAGGGTATACAGTCGCTTATCGCGACTTCCACCGGCCGAAATCAATCTGGCCGAATGCTCTCGCACTTGCCTTCGTGCAAAATTTTTACTCCAGCGGCAGAAACATCACCAGCAGCCGCTGACAGTCATTGCAACGATTCCGTTCTGCCGCTTGCACGCATATATTCTCCCACTACTCGCGAAGTTGGTGAAAGCAAAATGCGGTTACGTGCTGCTCAACTTTTGGAGTCTACCACACCATTTTGGTCGCAACCATTTCTACTCGATCCACCGGGTGGGAATGCTCCTATAGTCATTCCCAAACCGACTGGTAAAGGGGCATACGTTCTTTCGATCACCTCTATCCCTGCAATGGGAAGCTGTTCAGGGAAAACTAAAACCGTAACTTTCAGGCCAAGGTAAACCAGGCATAAGCTCATTATCACGTCAACTCTAATTTTTTTTTTTTTCAGATTTGTTCTGGCAAACGCATCTCGACAAGATATCTGTTTTAAGCAGCAAGGCACTGATATTTTTTATCCCCTAGCTGTTGGACAAAACATTAACGTCCACTGGACTGATACAACCAGGTCATAACATTTTTGCATTGTAGATGGAAACTTATCATTTTTTTCTTGTGCAGAACTCTGCTGTTGTCTTTGCGGTACAACGAGCACGGCTGGGATTGGTCTGGCGGATTTGCACTTGATCGGCTTGGAGACACCCAAGTTAAAGTTTACAACCATTTGACTGGTGTGAAAGAGATGCTTCGGGTGGTGGTCAGCGACGCAAATGCCGCGGGTGACAGCATTGGTTCGGGAAATGACAGGCTCGGGACGTTCTATATCATCGTGACAAATGATGAAACAGGCTTCATGCCTTATCGAATCGACAACTTTTCGAAGGAGGTTTGTATGCTGGCTTGTGTCGTGTTTAGCTGTGTTTATGTTCTCTGTTTTTATATCAGAAGCTGAGATTCTACCAGAAGAAGTGCGAGAAAACTGAGAACGTGTTGCAGCCTTATAGTTCGTGTGACTATGCTTGGGATGAGCCTTGCCTGCCTCCACAGCTTGTCATTGAGGTAAAGCTTTCTAGTCTTCACTACTATCTCTCAGCATTGTTTTTCTGTCTTTGATTCCCGTTGTAGGTTCCAGGCGAAGGAACTCTTGGAACATATCCACTGGACGTTGTCAAGTCTTATCCGTCCATCCAGTTCCATGCTTCTGGACAGGTTTGTAAGACAATTTAATATCACTGTTTGCGATCAAATGGTTCGTGTGGGATTTTACAGAAACCAGAGGGCCGTTTTGTTGTTTCTGTGCATGCAGAGGCTTCAAGAAGAGTAAGCAATTTTGTAATATCCATCTATTCATTTGACTTGCATTTATCAGGTCCTTAGCGTTGTCGACTTACTTCTCCATACCACAAAGGACTTACGAATGCTAAATCCTCGCATAGAAGAGACTTTCAGAGATTCCAGAAAGGGTTCTTCACAAGATTTTTCTTTGAAACTGGCATCTATCGCAATCTCGCTTGTGGACACCACTCCCCAGGTACTGCTCTATGTGTGTCGCTACTGATATGACTCGAAAATTATTGGCAGGAACTTGCTTTGGCATCAGCTAGAGGCTTTGAGTTGCAGTTTTTCCAAACTCAGTTGGAGCAGAAGATGAAAATGGAAATCGCATTGCTGCAAGTCGACAACCAACTCCGCCATGCCATTTATCCCGTCCTACTTTCTACGGCGAAGTCTTCGGGCATCTTGATGAGAGACATAATAAGCAGTGAATGGAACTCGTCTCGACAGTTAGCACAGGAGAAGAGCGAGAACCCCGCACTCTCTGCTATTGTCTCAAAATGGAGGCATCCAATCGGCTCGGTTCATTGCTACCAATGCATCTACTTGAGGTACTGAGTTGTGCGAGCATTGTGATATTTCTTACAATGTGTTATCTTACAGCATTGCTCCATTGCGTCTACAGTTGGAAGAACGCAACTTAACCTGCCTGTTGGGACTTTTCAAAGGTCTTTTTGTTGGAGGGTCTGCTACGGGAACCGAGAAATCTATGTCTTTCAAGTTACAGCGCTCCGAATGGGGTAGTTCTTCAAACGTTCTGAGCAGCTTGAGATTCGTCGAGACGATGGAGCCTATTGAGTCTTACAAAACATGGCCCGATAATGCCGCAGTAGAGCCTGCCAAAGGTCCGACACAGAAGCTCATCATCTCTGTCAAGCAGAGGAGGAAGGTCTACGTTGAGGCTTTTCATATCGACCCGCTGGAGCTTACTGTGAGGTAAAAACACTGAGATTCTTTGCAAGTTGAACATTGTTTTTGAAAGTTCCCTTTTCTTATGTGCAGCTTTTCAAGCATTCCCTGGCTTCCGAAGGAGAGCCGTGGTGTAGCTGCACAGTCCCTGTTATGGGTGACAGGATCGTTGGTACAGGTATTCTCTTTTGTTTTCGTGCCGTAAAGCAAGCTTTTTAACTCTTAAAATCCCACAGAGACGTCTGATTGCTTTGGCCGATGTGGAAGGAGCACCTATTCGTCTTCGTCATTTAACGTTGGCACATCCCATGGCCAATTGGAACTCAATCCTAGGAATCATACAGCGTCACTATACTCGCCAGCTGCTTCACGAACTCTACAAGGTTTGCGTTCTCTTTTTTTTACGTTGCTAGGTTCTGTTTCATATGTTGCATTCTTCCAGGTTCTTGGCTCGGCGGATGTTTTCGGGAATCCAATGAGCTTTTTGAGAAGCCTTGGATCTGGTGTGTGGGATTTCGTTCACGCTCCTGCCACAAGCATCAGACAGGTAAAAGTTCGCCACTTTGCTCATACTAGTTTCTGTCCATTAAGCATAGCTCGATCACTGCAGAATCCGGGACAAATTGTACAGGGTGTTACAGTAGGAACGAGGAGTTTGTTTAGAAATACAGTTTTTGCATTTAGCAATGCAGCCACGCAAATGAGCAAGGCAGCTCGCAAGGTTCGTGGTTTTGTCGTTGCTTAACTGTTTCTTACGTTATCGATCATTTGCTACAGGGAATGGCGGCTCTGGCGCTTGATCAAGACTACATGAACGAAGGCGAGAACCAGTGGTCTCGAGACAGCAGCATTGTCAACGAGTTTTTGGAGGGATTGACAGGTCTACTCCAATCCTCCGTGAGGGGGGCAGAGAGGCATGGAATTCCTGGCGTCTTTTCAGGTTGGATATCCCAAGTCGGTTCTAAACACCTCTTAACACTGCATCTTTTTTCGTAGGAATGGCTGTCGGTGTGATAAGAGCCGTGGCCAGACCGGCGGCGAGTATGCTCGAAGTGGCTGGAAAAACAGCTCAAAGCATCCGAAACAGCAGCCAGCCTTCCCAGCCGAGAATCATGCGCCTCAGGCTTCCTCGACACCTCGAGCCAGGCTCGCCACTTCTCCCATATTCGTGGAACGAGGCACTTGGCACGGCGGTTTTGCGAGAAGCCGACGATGGCCGATTCAGAGAAGAGGTAACTTCGTGTAGAGAAAAGCTTGAAACTTAGTGCTTTTGTTCTTCTCTGCAGACATACATAACATGCCAGCCTCTCTTCGAGCGCGGTGTGTTCGTTCTCCTCACGGAGAACTTGCTCGTCCAAGTCAAGAGCACCAGCGGGGAGGAGCTGGAGTCGAGCGGCTGCGAGTGGAGCCTGCTGTCGGAGAACAACGTGGAGGACATTTTGTACATATATCGGGAGGAAAACAATCTGGACGTGCTGTTTTGCTCGCCAAACGCGCTGCTGGCGAGCAAGGTAAGCCAGCAGTACAGGGGTGGCGGCAGTAGCAGCAGTAGCAGCAGCAGCAACAGATTTGCGCCGCCATCACCGTTCAGAAACGTGACGCTGCATCTCAACTCTTGCGAGTCGACGGAGGAATTCCACTCGACGCTGGTACACTTGCTGAGACGCAAACAGACGACGCGGCTCATAGCCTCTATGCGAAGAGAATAAGGCTTCCGACATGAAGTTTGTTGCCTGTAATCTTCTCTGAAAGAAAATTTATAATTTTTGTCTTGGCAAACAATTGGCCAGCAAATGCTGTGCTGCCAGGTGTTGAAATCTAACATTTTCCAGCTTTGCTAAAGTTCTTGTTAAAATAACTATCTCATATAGTTCAACAAAAAAGATTTCAAATAACATTAAATAGGTCAAAACAAATAGTATATTTAGTTATATTTAAAAATTAAATATATAAATTTATTATTTATATTTAATAGTTTAAGAAAAGTGACTAAAACTTTTATATTTAATATTTCATAAATTACTTATAATTCACTAACGAATAAAGTGAACTAAGTTAAACCTAGAGACTAAGTTTTACATGACTTTGTAATATTTTATTTATTATTATAAATTTTAAACATTCATGATTTCACTATATATTTTTATTTTACTGTTTTCTTATTATTAAATGTTTTGAATTCAAGTTCTTTATTGATATTTCTAGAATAAAAAATAGAGAAGAACAAAATGATTATTATAAAAATTTCTAAAATTTTATTTTAATAAAACTAATAAAATATAGATATAAATCAGAACAAGCTACAAAATTGATCTGAAAGTTTCATTCTCCTAATCAGCTCGTCTTAAAGGATTATGAGTTATAAGTACCAGAATACATCGCCAATCGGAGTACTCCCACATGTAATTATATAATTAAATATGAACACAAATTTGTATTCATGTTTGAGTTATAAATCACACATCCTTATCAAAAACATTATAATAGTTTTTGGCTGATGTGTATAATAAAATTATAATATAAAAAACTAAAACTTATTATGCAAAATATTTGTAACAACTTTATGCGATAATTACTCATGGTATGTATGTTTTTAGTATAATATATGAATGTCTTCAATATTAGGTTTTTATAAATATTAGCAAATATATCAGTTATAAATTAAAATTAAAATTTAAAAAATAAATACTATTTAATATTATATATAAAATATGTTTGATTTGGTATTTATTATTAGTTAATCTTTTTATACTATTATATCTGGTAATTAATCATTTTAATAAATTATGTTCTAGAGAAAGAAATGATGTAATTAGAATACTCTAATTTTATTAACTAAAAATTTGTGAAACACTTTATTTTTAAACTAAAAATAATATTGAAATAATAGAATTTATTTTTTATAAAAATAATTAGAGCCAATAATAAAACCAAACTTATTAGCCATTTCTGGGCTTAAAAATGAGTCTTCTATAAACTGGTGATTACCAATATATCAAGGTATATAAGTATATCTAATATAAGTATTTGAAATTAATATTAATTAAATTTATTTCATCAGTAATTAAGATATGCACATGTTGTATTCATCACTTTGAATATAGAATCTGATAAAATTTCCTTTTTGGTTTAATGTGGTCAAATCTGGGTAATAATTCAAATCCTAAAAAAGATTTAACATTCAAACAAGATTAGAATATCTCATGCTTTTCTACGCCCATTTTTCAGGATATGCTTGTTTCCCTAGCTAGTCATTGTGAAGGGACTTATAAAATCTAGTTATTAGGTTGAGTTTTTGGCTTTGTTTCTTTAGTAGAAATTCGAATTTTTAGCATATGTCACATCTACAGCAAAATTAAGCACAACCTTTCCAAGGTGTGAGTCAGCTTCTACGATTTTCTTGGCTATGATGTCTTTAGCAAAATGTTCTATAATTTCCTGCACAGGCTTCCTCTAGTAATTCATATATTCATCTTGGGATTTAACACATTTACATAATATGAGTGGAATTCCAAGATTTCCCTCATTCTTTGCCAATATTACATACTGGTGAATGTAGCGTCCCAGAGGTGATTGCTCCTGGCACAGCCAGGCCATCAGCTCTGGGACAGCCAGACTGAGTGGAATTCCAGGATTTCTAGTGCCACCTGATGGCAACGAGCATCTCCTTGTGAATTGGGGAAAGAGCGTCTTCGAATCCAACATATTTGTAGCTCGCACTGGGAGAGAAGCATACTTTTGGTCTACATTACTTAAACAATTTGTTGAGTTTGCAAAAAAAGGTGGTTCATAAAAGCAAGAGATGGTAACAGAATGGCCTCACAATCCAAAGTAGAGTTAAAGAAAGAACTTGCATTGATCATTAAACAGTGTGGAATCTCAAAGCAGGACTCCTCTCTTCGCAAGTTAAATGCCCACATCTCGGATGACAATGGTAGGATTTCCAACACCTTTTTGGGAAATTTGCTTGTCCAGGCGTTTGGGAGGTGTGGCAACTTGAGCAGCGCACGCAGGGTGTTCGATAAAATTTGTTTCACGAATGTTTTCTCGTGGAATATTATGATTGCCGCATATGCCCAATCTGGGCATATTGATGAAGCACAAGTGTTGTTCGAAAAGGCGGTGGCAAAGAATGCAACAACTTGGAACACTATGATAACAGCGTACTCGCAACAAGGTGATGTGAAAAAAGCAAAATCATTGTTTGATAGAATGTCTTGCAAGGACTCAATCTCTTGGAATTCTCTCTTGAGTACGTATGCCCGGAATGGGCATGGCGAGAGAGCTTTGGCTATCTTCAAGCTTATGGATTTGGAGGGATTTCCTCCGACAGAGCTCACCTTCCTCGTCATTGTGGAAGTTTGCGCAAACTGTCTTGCAAAGAGAGATGGAAGAATCATCCACTCGTGCATCCAAAGCCATGGCTTACAAACCAAAGTTATGGTTGCAACAGCGCTACTCAACATGCATGCCAAGTTTGGAGACGTGGAAACTGCGAAGCATATGTTTGATACAATGCCAGAGAAGAATGAGATTTCCTGGAATGCAATGCTCGCAGCGTACTCTCAAAATGGTTACCTCCACGAAGCTCTCGATCTCTTCCAAAGGATTCCAAATCGAGATGTTGTGTCCTGGAACACTCTGATTGGGGCATACGCCAGTCACGGGTTGAAGAGAGAAGCTCTCACTGCGTTCACGGAAATGGAGAGTAAGTTTTCCATCGCTCCAAATGTTGTTACCTTCGTTAGCTTGCTGGATGGCGTGAACTTCGATCTGGCGGAGGTAAAGTCGATCCACGCTAGAATTGTGAGCTCCGAGCTTCGATCCGAGATGAAAGTGGCTACAGCTCTTCTCGAGTCGTATGCTCGCTGTGGCAGTCTGGTGGATGCTAGGAAGATCTTCGACACTATTCCTCGCAGCGACACGATTCTCTGGAATGTGATGCTCGCGTCTTATTCTTCCCTGGGTGATTCCAAGCAAGCCATTTACCTGTTTCGGATGATGAGCGTTGAGGGCCTGATGCCAAACGATCTCACGTTCACAGTCATTTTCTCGGTGTGTAGCCACGCGGGACTCCTGCGGAACAGTCTCGAGTTTTTTAGCTTCATGATAAACGGATGTGAACTAAAAGCTTCCGAAGAACATTACCACTGCTTGAGCGATCTGTTTGGAAGAGTAGGATGGGTGAGTGAGGCTCGCGACTTGTTTAAGCAGCTCCCTGATAACGTTGCTTGGACATCTCTGGTCGCTGCCTGTAAAATCCATGGAAACATTACAAAAACATGAAGCTTTCAAACACGATGTAAGTTACCTGGATGTATGGGATTGCGGTGGAGCTTTGACGAAGCTAGCCAGCAACTAAGTTGGACAGTAGCACGTAAGAGCTCGAACACTCGAAACCAAGTTCCAGCAGACTCCTTGCAGCCTCGACCCCTCTCTTCGTCTCTCCATGCAGCTTGCAAGCGCCCAGCAACGTTGTCCAAGTCACAGGCCTGGGAGTGAAAGGCATGGCCATAGCCAGAGCTTCCGCTTCTCGAGCCCACCCAGCTCTGCTCAAGACATCCACCAAGCACTCGTAGTGATCGAGCATTGGCTTGATGCAATAGTCACCAGTCATGGACCTGAAGTTCTCCATCGTTGAGTCGGGGCTCTCGCTGGTAGCCATCAAAACGCTGATGAAGGTAATCCCGTCTGGCATCACTCCTTCCTGGACCATTCTCCTGGAGAGTTCTAGAGTTTCATCGGCTTGAGAACGATGGGAGTACGCAGTGATAATGGACGTCCACGAGACGTAAGTCCTGAAAGTTCTCATCTCCTCGAACACGTCCCGAGCTATCTGGATCTTTCCACACTTTGCGTACATGTTCATAAGTCCTGTAGCGCCAAACACCCCCAGTTGGACTTTTCTCTCCTTGATCTGCTCGTGGATAGCTCTTCCTTCGGCTAAAACTCCAAGAGTGGCACAGGCTCCAAACACAGTCGAGTACAGAATGTCGTCCGACTCGACGTCTTTCATCGCGTAAAACAGATCGAGCGCTTCTCTAGACAGTCCTCGCTGCTCGTAAGCGGAGATCATGAGCGTCCAAGTCACCACCGATCTCGCTTCCATGCCGTCGAAAATCTCTCTGGCCTGCTGGAGCTGACCACACCTGGAATACATGCTCAGCAGTCCGTCCGCGACAGGCCTGAGCCTCACGTAACCATTGTCTGTCACCATCGAGTGGATGGTCCGTCCATCTCTCAAGCTCGAGCACGAACTTAGCACCAGGCCAAACGTTACAGCCTCGGGCTTCCATCCCTCTAGCTGCATTCTCTCCATGGTCTCGAGAGCCTCTGCACCCCGGCCGTTCTTCACGAGAGCCGCCACCATCGAGAGCCAGGGGCCGGGACAAGGCCACGAGTTCTTCTCGAAAACACCTCTAGCAAGGTCCAGCCTTTGGCACTCGCTGTACATGTTGATAAGCGATACGTTAACCTCCACACTCGCCACCAGCTTCTTCTTCGTGCTCAAGAGCCTGTGAATTTTCCTGCATTCGTCAACTTCCCCAAGTATGGAGCATGCGTAGAGGGCTGTGCTGAAAGTAACTTCACCCATTTCCACCTCCTGCTGCTCTGCCATCTGATAGAAAAGATCGACTGCCTTGCGAGCCTGTCCGTTCTTCGCGTAAGCACCGATCATGGCGTTCCACGAGATTTCGTCCCTTTCGTCTCGAGTGTCAAAGATGTCCTTGGCAGCTTCCAAGTTTCCACACCTCCCGTACATACTCATCAGCGCGTTTAGAACTCTCACGTCCGTTTTACACTCGTCAGCCTTGATGTCCAACTCAATCAACTTTCCCTGCTCCAAATCATCCACACCCGAGCAAGCGCCAAGAGCACTGCAAAAGGTGGCAGCTTCGGGCCGAATACCTTTGTGAACCATTTTCTTGTAAAGCTCGAGAGCTTCCTTCCCAAGTCCTCTTTGTGAAAGTGCCGAGATCATCACGTTGTAGACCACCACGTTCTTTTCTTCCATTTTGTCAAACAGTCCCCTCGCGAAGTCTAACATCCCGAGCCTGACATACAAGGTCACCAGCGCGGTTTGCAAGATCAATGTTTGCCGAATGCTCGCCTTGACAATCTCGGAGTGGATGGTCGTTCCCTTTGTGACGTCGTTGAGATCTGAGCACGCATGAACTACCGTAGCATATGTAGAGCTGGATGGTTTTATCCCTGTGGACTTCATCTTCTCAAAAAGATGAAGAGCGTCCCGGCTTCTTCCCTGGTAGACATAGACCGCCATCATAGAGTTCCACGTCACCTCGTTCTTCAGCTCCATTCCATCGAAAATCTGCCTCGCAGTCTCCAAATCTCCACACTTTCCAAACATGTTGACAGCAGCAGTATCGACAACCAAGTCTTTTAAATGCTTCCCACGCGCGTAGATTTTCCTGCCTTCTTCAAGCTCTCCCACGTTTGAGCACGCACCGAGAATGCTGGAGATCGTCACCCCGTTTGGCTCCAGCTCCATTTTCTTGTATAGTTTCAGTGCCTCTAAGTGATGCCCATTCTGGGCATACCCGACGATCATCGCGTTCCATACTCCCAGTTCTCGCTTGGAGCTCTTCTCAAAGATTTCTTTAGCCTTCTCCAAAGCCTTGCACTTGGAGTACATGCTTACCAGTGCCTTCTGAACGACTGGATTGTTTGCAAGCCCAGAGTTAACAGCCTGTTTGTGAAGTGCTTTGCCTCGTTCTAGATCCCCGAGCCCGCGGCACAGAGCAAGAACTCTCGCTAAAGTGGATCCGTCAACCTGTTGTTCCTGAGAGACCATCTGATCGAAAACATCGAACGCTTCTGTGGTGGTATCCCTTTGCTGTGCGTAAGCTCTGACCATGAAGTTCCAAGACGAAGCTTGCCTGCTGGGTAGCTGGTCGAAGGTGGCCTTTGCATCTTGAACGCTTCCACACCTTCCATACATCTGGACGAGCAGATCACCCAGTGCTTGATTCCCCCCATACCCAGTCGAAACAATATGCTGGTGGACTTGCCTGCCATGAGAGAGCGACCTGGCATTGCCACACTCTCGAATCAGTGTGTTGTAAGCACCGAAAAGCTTTCCTGGCTCGTGCTGGTGTAGCTGCTCGACAGCTTCGTCCAGTGCCCTCCAGCATCCCATCTAAGTAAACGTCATATGATTGACCTTGCAACCTGTTCCACAGTGAAGTTAACGATTAAAACTATCAACTTGATACGAACTTACAAGTCCTGGTGATTCCAAAACTCCCAGAACACACATCCGCCTTTGGCAGTGTTATAAAAACAAATGCTCCAGGCCGGAAGCGTCCGTCTGCAAATACAACAAAGCATCACCAAGAGAAGAGAAAAAAAAAACAAAGACATACCTTGCTGCGGCTGTAAATGTTCCAGAGCAACACGTAGGAAGAACTGCTGCCCGGTTCCAGACCAGCAGCAACTTCGGCATAGCGTGACCCTCTATCGAGATCAGCTTGCACCTCGGAAGAGCCGAGCAAAGTAGTCCAGCCCATGGCTGGAGGCTCATACGGCATACTGTGGACGAGCTCTTCAGCACTCTCAACTCGTCCGGCTCGAGAAAGAAGATCGACCATGCAGAGATAATGCTCGGTGTCGTGGGCCACTCCAAACTCCATCTCCATAGACAGGAAGTGGCTCCTTCCTCTGTCGAGCAGGCCCGCATGGCTACACGCGAGTAGAACGCAGGCGAAAGTGACATAGTCCGGGTCGACACCGTCCTGTACCATCTCGCCGTGCAAGCTGAGAACTTCGTCCACGTCTCCATGGTGTGCATGCCCGACTATGATCGTGTTCCACGAGAACGAGTCCCTCCTTTGGAGATTGCTGAACATGGTGTTTGCGATGGCGAGGCAGCCGCACTTCGCGTACATGTTGAGGAGCGAGTTTTGAAGAAAGAGGCAGTTTTGGAGCGTCTCCGTTGCCTGTATCCTCGAATGTATAGCTTTTCCTTCTTGGAGAGCACCGATCCTCGAGCACGCTGCTAAGGCCCCGGCAAGTGTGATTTCACTCGGCTGAAATCCTTCCGAGACCATCCTTAGGTAGAGATCTAGAGCTTCTCTATCGTAGCCTTGTTGGATGAATGCTCCCACCATTGCGGACCAAGTCACAGCATTCTTCCTTCGCATCTTCTCGAAGTAGCTCATGGCGGTCTCCAGTTCTCCACACTTCGCATACATGTTGACGATCGCAGTGTCGAGGAATACGTCCGTCCTGATCTTGCTCTCCGTTATTCTTGAGTGTATCTCTGCTCCTTTGGCTGATCCACCATAGCTAGTGCATGCTCCAAGAGCACCAGCATAAGTTATATCATCTGGCTGGACCCCCTCTTCTTTCATCAGCTCGTATAGTTCTAGAGCTTCCCTGCCGCGTCCACTCTGAGCATAAGCAGCTATCATGGAGTTCCAAGAAACCACGTTCTTTCTATACTTGAGCCTGTCGAAGATATCCCTTGCCGCCTCTAAATTTCCACACTTGGCGTACAAGCTCAAAAGCGCAGTCCTTCCTTCCTCAATTCCCATAGAGGTTGCCTGTTCCTCCACCGCTCTGCCTTTCTCAAGCGCCTGGAGGCTTGAGCACGCTCCAATAACACTGACGAAAGTTCTGGCATCCGGCTTCACACCCTCCAAACTCATCTGATGGAAAAGTAGAAGCGACTTGCTGGCCTGCCCGTGCTGAGCATACGATGAGATCATAGCGTTCCACGCAGTCACGGACTTCTTCTCCATCCTATCGAAGTTACTCCTCGAAGCCTCCAGCATGTCGAACCTGGCGTACATGGTAACTATTGCCGTCTCCAGAACCTCACTTGCCTTGCATCCGCTCGCCAGGATTCTCTTGTGAATAGCTCGAGCCTCTTCCACTGCTCCCAAGTTGACGCAGGCACTCAGCAAGTGGATGAAAGTTCTCTCGTCGGCTTGAACGCCTTCAGCCTCCATCAATCCGTATAAATCTAGTCCTTGCCGATTGAGAAGCTTGTCGTCAGCTTGGGAGTACGTTGCGATCATCACGTTCCAAGAAATCACAGTCTTCTCGTTCATCCCATCGAACATCTTCCGAGCTAAGTCGACTTGGCGGCACTTGGAGTACATGTTGAACACCGCAGTTTCCACCACCAAGTCTTTGTCCATCCCACACGCAGAAGCATGCTCGTGGATCCTGATGCCTTCGTGTAGATCTTCCAAAGCGCAGCAAGCACTGAGGATGGTGAGATAGCTGACTTTGTCAATCCGAACGCTCTCGGCCTTCATCCTTTCAAAAAGCCCAAGAGCCTCTCGAGCTCTCCCGTGCTGAACAAGCCCCGAGATCATTGCATTCCACGGCGAAGGATCCACCGACTGGATCCCGTCAAAAACTCTTCTGGCACTCTCCAGCACTCCACACTTGGAGTACATGTTGATGAGAGCAGCCGCCAGCGCTGGATCCGACTTAAACCGGCTCCTCGACACCCGAGCATGAACTTCCTTCCCAAGTTCTAGCAGCTCCATCGCCGAGCAAGCCCCGAGGATGCTTGCGTAAGTGATAGAGTCGGGCTCCACGTCCATCTTCCGGAAGAGCTCCAGCATCTCCTCACCGTGACCGTGCTGGGAATACGCCACCACCATGGAGTTCCAGGATATGAGATCCTTGTTCTCAATGCTATCAAACACCTTTCTCGCGGATCTCAGGTCCCCACTCCTCGTATAGGCCGAAACGAGGGAGTTCTTCACAACCACGTTGCTGTGGAAGTCGCTGGCGGCGATGGATGCCTGGATCGTATCGAGCTCTTCTCTGCCCGAGCAAGAGCTAGCGACACCAGAGAAGGTCACTCCATTCGGCCGGAATCCCTCGAGAAGCATTCGGTGGTAGAAACCAACGCACTCCATGGAATGCCCAGACTGGGCAAATGCTGTGATGATCGAGTTCCATGATACCACGTCCCTCTCCGGCATCTGATCGAAAACCCGGACTGCCAGATCCAAGGCGCCACACTTCGCAAACATGCTGATCGCTCCATTCTGCAATTTGATGTCGTGCTTGAGATGAATCGAAGAACACAATCGCTCGTAAACAGCCATACCTTCGCTGAGGCTCCTCAGCCCCGCGCACACGCGCAGCGCCAGCACGAACGTGACCTTGTCCGGCTCCGCCTCCATCCTCTTGTAGAGATCCAGCGCGCGGCATCCATCCCCGACGCGATCGTACTCCCCGATCAAGATATTCCACAGCACCGCCCGGTTCTTGACGGCGATCGCATCGAAGACGTGCCACGCGCCCTCCAGATCCCCGCATTTGACGTAGAGATGGACGAGCAGCCCCGCGATGTAGGAGCTCTCGCCGTGCCCCGCGATCACGACCTGTGCGTGGAGCCGCCTGGCAAGATCCAGGGACCCCGAATCACAGCAGCGGCGGATGAGATCGGCGTAGGAATCCGCGAATTTCACCGTGAGATGGCCCTGCTCGATCTGGTTGAGCACCGATTCCAGCGCCTCGCTGGAAAATATTCTCGCAGAGCTCGAGTGGATCCGGCGGCGGCGGAGGAAATCGATGCTGGCGGTGGCGACGAGCAAGCGCTTCCACGGCATTCGATCGCCGCGCCGCGATCATAGCCTCGAGAAAATTTCCCCCCCTTAAAACAAAAAAGAGAATTTAGGGTTCTTCGTTGTTTCTAGGGTTTGACGCTCTCGCGTGATCCAGGTAGAGGCTCAATCCACTCGATCGTGGATTGGTACGCTTGGTCATGAGATAATCTCCACCTCTGGGCTGAATTGAGGTGTTTTTCCTCTCTTGTTCTCCATGACCATGGATGCTGCTAGCAGATCAAAGGAGGATGTTTCACTGCCTAAAGGTAAAATTTCTCAACGAAGTGCTTCAAAATTTTTGCTTAGCCCTTTGGTTCTAAAAAATTCCTTTTCTTTTCCAGCTACGATGACGAAGATCATCAAAGAAATGCTGCCACCGGAAGTTCGAGTGGCACGAGACGCTCAGGACTTACTTGTAGATTGCTGTGTTGGTAAGAAAAATTTTTCCTCTCGTTTTTCTTTCTTGCTGGGTTTGAGCTAAGTTTTTGCCTGTCCAGAGTTTATCAATCTTATCTCGTCCGAGTCGAACGAGATTTGCAACAAGGAAGAAAAAAGAACTATTGCTCCAGAGCATGTTCTAAAAGCTCTAGAGGTAACGCGATTCTCTAACTTTTCTTCGATTCTCTTAACTTTTCTCCTGTACAGATTCTCGGATTTGGAGAATACATTGAAGAAGTTCATGCAGCGTATGAACAACACCGAAACGAAACTTTGGTACAAGCTTTTCTTTTCTCTTTTTCTTTTGTTCTTCTCTTCGCGCTTGACTCCTATTCTTTTCCACAGGATTCTCCAAAAGCTGGAGGCAAATGGGGTAAAGAAGCAGGCTCGGGGATGACGGAGGAGGAAGCCATCGCCGCGCAGCAACGTATGTTTGCGGAAGCAAGGGCACGAATGAACAGCGGAGGAACACAAAGCTCTTAGTCACTTTGAGAAAGCTCTCCCTGTACCATATACACACACAACCATGGAGGTAAAAACAAAAGCTTTTCGTTACACTCCTCTCGATCTTCCAACGCAAGAGTTTGACAACAAGACATAAGCTGCCGAGTCCCAGGGATCCATCTCTCGAGCGCTCCGCGACCCTCTCGCGGCGTCACCGTGGAGCGAACAAGCACCAAGCAGTGTCGACTTCCTCCCCGGTAAGTTTCCTTTTGAGAATTTCTGCGATAACTCTTCTGCTTCCTTGAGCTGGCCCGAGCGTCCGAGTAGATCCACCAAGCACTCGTAGTGCTTGGAGCTTGGTGGAATCTCACACTCGGCCATCATGGTCACGAAGAACTCGATCGATTCGTCCACCAGTCCGGCTCTACTGCAAGCAGCGAGGATTGACACGAAAGTGGTCTCGTTTGGGAGAAAGCCACCCACGATCATCCTCCGGAAGATCTCCACCGCTTGCTTCCCATGCCCGTGGTGGGAGTGTGCGGCCACGATCGCGCTCCACAGCGTCACGTCCCGGTTGGGCACTCTCACGAACATTTCCATTGCGGTATGCAAATGCCCCTTTTGGGTATATGCTGCGATCATAGCCGTCCACGACATCAGGCTCTTGAACGGCAGAGATTTAAACACATTTTGCGCTTCGGTGATATGCCCGTGCTGGGCATATGCAGTTACCATGGCCGTAGATGCCACGATGCTATCAAACTCAAGCTCATCGTATAAATCTTTGGCTTCTACAAGATACCCATTTTGGGCATAACCTACGATCATATCTATGCACAAAACTATGTTCTCTCTTCGTATGCTATCATAGATTTTCTTAGCTTCTGTAATGTTTCCATGATGTGCGTAGCCTAATATCATACACCTCCAAGACGTAAAATTCGCCCATGGCATCTTATCAAACAAAACTCTGGCATTTTCTAGATGCCCAGTTTGGGCATATGCAAAAATGGTGATATTCCATGTCATTGTGTCATGCCGCGGTAACCTATCAAATAGTGCCTTTACTTTTAATATTTTGCCACTCTCAGCGTATCCCATCAACATCACATTTGCCGATACGATATTTTTACCTGGCAATTTGTAGAAGATACTCTCCGCTGTTTCCATTTGTCCGGCCTGAGCATACCCTGCCAGCAAGGCAGTCCACGTAATCACGTCATGCACGTGCATTCTGTCACACAGCCTCTGTGCCTCCGCCAGCTGTCCGCTCGCGGTGTAGCTTCCAACCATTGCATTCCACGTGGCGATGTCCCTCTCGGGCATCGCATCGAATAATCTCCTCGCCACGTCAATACGTCCCTCGCGGGAATAACCCGTTATCATCGTCGTCCACGATACCGTGTCTTGTACGGGCATCATACGGAACAAGGCAGACGCTCTCTCGAAATTCCCAGCTTCGATGCAAGCCTGTATCATTGTGTTCCACGAGAGGATGTTCCTCTGCGGCATTCTCTCGAACAAATCTCTAGCCTTGTCCAAATCTTCATGCCGAGCAGACGCAGCCAACATTGCATTCCATGAGGAAAGACTCCTCTCGGGCATCTGATTGAACAGTTGCTCTGATTTTAAGAGATCGTCATTCTCCGCGTGAGCCACCAGCATTGCATTCCACGAGATCACGTCCCTGTGAGGCATCGTGTCGAAAATCTCGGTGGCTTTTTCGATATGCCCAGCCTGGGCATATGCTCCAATCATAGTCGTACAGGCAACAGGGCCTTTGTATGGCATTGCCTTAAGCACAGATTCAGCCTCTTCCAAAAACCCGCCTCCAGCGTAAGCTGAAACCATAGTATTCCACGCAAAGTCGTCCTTTTCCGGCATTTCATTGAACAGCAGCTCGGCCTTTTCAAAATGCCCTGAAGCGGCATATGCTGATAACACGACGGTCCAGGACACAGAATCTCTCTGCGGCATTTTTTCCAGCATGTTTTGAGCCTCTCGAAGCTTCCCGTTCTGGGCATATGCAATCAAGACGTTGTTCCACGAGAATAAGTTCGGATTTCTTATCGTGTCAAAGACACGACGGGCTTGCTCAGTTTCTCCACATTTCCCATACATTTCCACCAGCAAGTTATTGAGATATCGGTTCCTACAGTGCCTCCCAGCACTTACCTGTGCGTGAATTTCTTTCCCTCTGGAAAGGTCTCGGGAAATGGTGCACGACTTGACAATATCCACAGAAGACCGAAAATCAACATCCATAAGGCTCTGCCAAGGAATCGTTTGTATATGCAAGTGGAACTTCTCTATTCAATAGGTGGGTGTTGCAAGATTAGAGCTTATTATCTGAACTATATGAATATTTAAGAACTTGAGAGACAGAGCTGCCTACAACGCGATGGGTTCTTTGGTCTTACAGGACGATGATCGTCTCAGAATCATGGAGTTCGGCACAATGTGTGGCATTCCATCCGCTCTAAACGCAGTGATCAAGCTGGGAATTCCAGATATCCTTTCAAGTTCCCAAGACGCCCCCCTTTCTTCCGCTGAAATCATCGCCCAAATCCCGGCCTGTGGATCGTCCGGAAGTGGAGCCAACTTGGACAGGATACTCCGAGTCCTGTCCAGCGTTGGAGTCTTTCAAGAGTCTCTCCACGATGGAGGAATCAGGAAGTATGGAGTCACTCCTCTTTGCAGGTACCTCGTCACAAATCCCAGCAATGGTGGATTGCCACTTTCTTCCTGGGTGATTGCCAACCAAGACGTGGTTTTCATGAAAACTTGGGAGTTTTTGTACCAATCTGTGACCACTGGAGCTGACCCCTTTACTGCTGCGCATGGAAAGCCGCTGTTTGATCTTACAGCCGATAACCCGCGGTTTCGGGGGATATTCGACTCTGCCATGTCCGATAACTCCAATGCTTACATGCGATTGATTGTAGAAGCTTACGATGGTTTCCAGGGGGTAAGAACTCTGGTTGATGTTGGCGGAGGTATTGGAAACAGCTTAAGAGTTATTCTTGGTCGCCACAAAGGAATCAAAGGGATTAATTTCGATTTGCCTCATGTTATATCTAAAGCTCCAGCTTTCCCGGGTACGCTCTGATTTTATTCATTACTCCTTTGTAACTTCTTTTGGATTCAGGAGTGGAGCATGTGAGCGGTGATATGTTTGATAAAGTTCCACAGGGTGATGTAATTTTTATGAAGGTGAGATTTGTGATTCTTTTGGGATCTGAAACGTTCATTTTTTTATCTTGCACAGTGGATTTTGCACGATTGGAAGGATGAAGCATGCATCACTTTACTGAAGAATTGCTATGAATCACTCCCGAGCAGAGGAAAGGTAGTGGTGGTGGACTCTATATTGCCATCTGGGACAAACCACAGCTTTGGCTCTAGATTTGCACTTAACATGGACTTGCTCATGCTAGCGTATACAGGAGGGAAGGAGAGAACTTTGGAAGAGTTTGAGTCATTAGCAAATGCTGCTGGTTTTGCAGAAGTCAAGGTGGTTATTACACTAGATTTCTTATCTGTATTAGAAATGCATCGATCATCTGGGCAACTTATTTAAATCCCTCAGTCTCGTGTTTCTATCTGAGTGCTGCAAAACCATGTAAAACAGAATATGAATAAATGAATGAATTTTAAATATTAGATAATATTCTTAAAAATTTAAGAGGAAAGATTGCGGTTAGTCTGGAAAAGTTCAGCAAATGAACAGTTTAAGAGATCATCAAAATAATTTACTATAATCCCTCAATCTCATCCTTTTTCGTGGGCTAGACTATTTAGGCCTGGTCCAGTACTTGTTTCCTAGCCATGCCTTGGCTCTGTGGTTGTTTCTTGGCATTTTTCAAGACTTCCTGCTTCTTGAGTCTTAGGACTACCTTGACAGCCCTGCTGGTACATGAGACACTCTTTTCTCCGTCATTCCACCTCAGGTTGTCCAGCTTCTTATGAATATCGATTTCATCCTGTTCAAGGTTGGTTGTGTCCCTTCCTCTATACTGTGTGAAACAGCTGTGTGCTTGGTTGGAGCTGGGCAGATGTACACATAGTGCACAACACAGTATTTAGTATACTAGTCCATGTGGTAGTCTCATGTCTCTTCACTACTTTCATAGTACTAGAGCATTGGCTCGTTGATCTTGGGCATGGCACTTGCTGGCCAAGAGGCTAGTGACAAGGAGGAGGATGAGCCTTCAAGGCGTTCGATGCACTGAATACTTGAGGCATTGCATTATACAAAGGTGCAAACAGTAGCAACTAGAGAGTAAAACCAGTGGGAGATTGAGAGGTTTTAATAATCTACATCAAGAATTGGGCCATGATTCAAGAACATTGCATAGTAATTCTCTCAAGAATTTATAGCAATTAAAAAGGATGTTTATGGAGATTCAAGTGCTTTGTAGCAGCAGAAGTGGGAGCCTGATAGCCAAGACCACATGGTAATGACAAGATTGAAACCACAACAATGATGTGCAAACAAGCCAAAACCAAGAACAAAATTTTGGGTAGTTGATTGATGAGTTTTTTGTATGTTTTTATCATTCAAACTCACTAGATCAGGAGCAAGCCGGTTGAAACTACAACATGACTATTCAGTGTTTTTTATTTCAACATGCTAACTTTCACGAGTGATATGACCACTTTGTAAGCGTAAAATATCCTAGAATGCTTGACCCGCTGCTGTCGATGGAGTGACGACAAGCGCTACTACCACTGCTGATGGGACCCTATTATTTGAATTTGGGGGGCAGGATTAACCCTGACAAATGCTCAAGCATGCCACCCTTGCCACACTGCTGCTGTCATTGCCATGTAGCCCAGGTCTGATCAATCTGCCTGCGCTCACTCACCCAGTCATGGATTTGTGGCGTTGATTTTTCAGACTCGTGAGGTGGGTGCTGTCACCCAGCTTCTCTCAGCAGGCACTATCGAGTCCCAGCTTCTCTTGACAGGCGATGTTGAGTCCCTCTCCATAGTGTTAGATCCATGGGTAAGAGCTAGGATCCTGTCTAAGTCACCTTTGATCCAGGGTATCAGGATCCAGGTCAATGTTTGATAGAGTGGAGTTTATCAATTGGGCCAAGGTTTGCTTC